GCGTATGTGCACACGAGTGGGCATCATCTTTAAATATTTTGAAAGGTGTCAGTTCCAAATTACAGTTTCATACTTTGTCACCTATCAGTTAAGATATAAATAATATCAGAAGTATTTTTGATCATAGGTCTCACAGTTTGGTATACCCTTTCAATAGGGTGTTGTTAAGTTTAAAGCTGCAAATTTTCACTTATCAATCAACAACACAGAAAAAAGGTTACTAGCCAGAAAAGCTCTTCACCAAGGTTAATAGTCATGGGTTATTTCTTATGGTATATGTTGCTATGCAACTTAGAAAGTCACATAGGTCAAATAATATTTACATTCCAAAACTATCATTTTTTCCTGTTGATGTTATTCTTATATTATGTAGAGTTGTTTTTAATCCATTCAGCGCCAGCGCTCTCCCCTTGACAAGTAAAATCGTCTGGCATTAGACAGAGTAAAATAAAAAAAGTAGGGCGCATTTGGGCGCAATGGAACTTGATGGGTTCAAGAGAAAAATTCCAGTCATTTTAGCGGCTGTTTTGAGGGTTTTGCGCAGACTGTAAACACAATAACAGTCGAAAAACAAGTACCACAGTCTGTAATCCCTGCCAAAAATAAGATATCAGACTATATAATCCAAGTATAATTGAAGCCCATAAGTGTTTTTAATGACTTCTAATAAAGTCGGTTCTTAACTTTTTGTATTGACTTCTAAGATTTTAATAGAAATATTGTCTTTATAATGCCGTTCAAGGGCATATTGATTGTAATATAAATCCAATCAGCTTATCTCATCATGGAAAAATGTAGAAAAAAAATACTTGATAAAGAAAAAACAACATACTCGAAATAGCAAGATCTTGCATGTGAATTCAATATATGGATTGTTACTTTAAAACAATAACACGAAGTTCAAGAGATTCCAATTATTGCAATTAAATGGCTTCAATGGTTAATCTCGCAGACTTTTATATTGCGATTACGATTTAACATTTTTATAACGCAATTTTACATGTAGCTAATCACGTACTCAGCCTAGACTAATTTATTTCTTTTAAATTTTATAAACTTTGTCACAATATAAATTACACAATCTAAATACTATAATGACTATAACACATTCCGAGCTATCCCTACATGTATCGACTTCAAAGACTCACAAACTGTTAAAACCATATTAAAACTGACATGAAAACCGGCGTAGATGCAAGACAAGACAACTAGATCTAACAATACAACAATAGACAATTGCCATTATAGACTAATTTTAAAACTAGGCAAGGAGATGCAAATAAATCACCACAGCTAGAAAGAGCATACTGAAATGAGTAAATTTGCAAAGTTTGGTTGCGAAATGTTGTAAAATGCGGAAAATATAGCCTTGCAAAGTTTGCAAATTTTGTACACTTTTGTATTGCATGCGGAAATTGCTATACCATTTTCGGCACAAATGTGGTAGGAATTTCCGCACGCAATACAAAATTTGCAAATTTGGAAGGCTATGGTATATATATTTTCCGCATTTTACAACATTTCGCAACTAAATTTTACTCATTTCAGTATGCTCTTTCTAGCTGTGGTGATTTAATTATTTGCATCTCCTTGCCTAGTTTTAAAATTAGTCTATAATGGGAATTGTCTATTGTGACAGGGTATAGTCACAACCGCCTTTGGCCAATTACTGTGAAGAAATCAGTAATATTCCGTCGAATATTTCTTACAAATCCTTCAAAATTTAGAATTTATCAGGGCAGAATTCCTGCTATGATCAGAGAAATTATGATTGTGTAAACTAGCATTTATGGGTTATAACTGACAAAATATCTTAACTGAAGCCTGACAAATGATGAAACAGCAATGGCATAGAGCTACCTTTAGTTTATTTGGGGTGAGTACCCCTTGCATCTGACACTGGGACACGCCCACAAGGATACACCCCACCCATCCCCACCCCAACCGAAAGAACGTGATGTTGGACTTCAACTCCACACAAGTGCTTCCGTTTAATGGCATTCGTCAGGAATTGCTTCGTTCAAGTGTTGACAAATAATAACCTAGTATTTTCAAGGGCTTAAACATTGATATTGCACAGACAGGATGACATTGTTACAATATTAAAATTTATCACATAAAGGGAAAGAACTCGTATTGAGTGAGAATGACATATCACACGAATGGTCATAAATCATCTCTTGAAAACAAAAGCCACAAGTGGAACGAACATTTGTTCTTAAAATTTCTAATTCTGATGTCTTGTTCATATGAAAAATTCGTAGAATTGTATATTATCTTGGGAGGAAATTATGTGAACATAACATCTTCGAAATATTTTTGTTGTAATTGAACAAATATTAAATATACATGAAAAAAAAGTCTCAAATCAGATTGGCTAAGTTTAAGAGCAGTACAATAAATACAGTGCCAAAAATGAATAAATACAGTGCAAATCTCTTAATTTTCTTAATTTTTTTATTTTTCAAATTTCTTTTCTTAATTTCTAAATGTGACTTGCGCACGTGACTGCATAATTTTTTCATGTATATTGTTGATGAGTATAAACAGTATGGTTTCTCGTGCAATTTGAAAAATTATACACTTGTGAGTTTTTCAAAGACTTCAAATTGCACTCGGAGTTCGGACTCGCGCAATTTTCATAGTCTTTGAAAAATTCACTCGAAACCACACTATTACCTATATACTAATTTCACCTTGTATTACTTACTTACTTACTTACAGATTTATTTAGCCACGCTGGCCATAGTTGTAAAATACAATCTGTTGATTTTCGGATGGGGGGCGTGTTATACTTACAAACTATTTTAACTCACATCCTAAGTCTCTGGTACAGTGGACATACTGCGTTTAAATTGGTAAAGCGAAGATGCCTTTTTCGCCTCAGAAGGAAGACTATTCCACAGCATTGCACTACTATACTTAAAACTTCGTTTAAGATAGTTTGTTTTAGGTTTTGGAAGTGCTAGATCACTATCATTACATCGAAGATTATATTCTCTATTAAGATCTTTAATTTTTGTAAATTTTTCTCCCAAGACTTGGATTAAGAATTTTGTACATCAAAACGCTCTTCACTTTAATATGTTTAATATTACGTGTTTAGGTCTATTAATGTTTATATTTTTTGTTTGTACATGCCGTAATACTATGTTATAGGTTAGAATGGGGAAAAAATGTCTGGAAAATTTTATTCCACTTGACTGAAATCCCACCTAGCGCAAGGTCGGACCTCACCGGGCTGGATCGTTTCTCATATCAACGCAAATTGAATTTTATATGCGGTAACAAAAGGCATACAGACATCACCCCGATTAGCTGGGTGGAGCCTTTTAATAGATTATTGAACAATAAGTGACCTTAACCTTAACTAATTCTGGCCGCTTCTTTTAATTATATACGCTACATCTCAGAATTGTATATAGTGTTAATTCCGTTGCAATGTTTTTTCCGGATTTCCTGTTTTTCAACTTGTGTATTAGGAAGCGGTATTATGTCGACGTATTGGAAAACGCGGACACGGAGCCGCTTGCACAGTCACACGGAAACGGACACTTATGCATGGTAAAAACGGGCAGTTATGGAAAAGTAATTATTAGAACATTTTAGAACGATATAAATTAAGCTATATTTGCATGAAATTTAAAGCAAAAAGTTTAAAGAACCGGCCAAGATTTTCAGCTACAAACTGCGGCTCAGTAAACATTTTCTGGAATGATTATAGTTAATTGGAATGCATTGATACTTATCAATAACGTGCAGACACCATTGTGGTCATAACTGCCTATTAAGGTACTTAACTGTCTGGAGATACTTAAAAAAATTAATTACAATTCTCTTTATACTTCACCCCCATTGAAGATCTTATAGTTTTTTTTGTGTGGGATCACGCAAGCTTTCGCATGTCAAACACCCACATATTTCTCCCTCGTCAGTGTTGCAAAACGAAAACGCAATCTGTTACGAATCTGTTATACAAGCTTAGGAAGTTATGACTTAGTATCACTATACTAGATTCTAGAACTTTGTCAATTGAAATTCCTTTCAATAACATGTCAATTGAAATTCCTTTCAATTATATTGATCAAATGAATTGCGATATTATTAAAGATATATTCAAATTTCGTATGCGAAGTGAAATTATTAGAACGCAATGTACTATACAAGCTTATTGCACAACTTTTCTCTTTTGAGTTCCATAAATAAATATTGTCCGGTCACGTCCGAGGAAAACGTAGGCTGGTCTGGCAAAGTGACAGACCAAGTTTTCAGAATTATATTGAACGCTGTTATACTCATTTCCTCGAAGAATACAGCCTAAATCATTCTGTCCTTCTATTCATAAGGAAGATTTATAATGGCCGATAGCACAGAAGTCGCAAGCTTTTTTTCGGGTACTCCGGTACTGAAGTAACACTGGATCAATATGAGATGGGGCTGCATTCCTGTTATAAGTGGTTTTCATTGCAAACAGGAATGCAACCCTAAGGATCATCTCGTATTGATCCAGTGTTAAGGACCGTATACAGGCGAGAAAGTTTCCTTGACAAGTTTACCTTCTCATGTGTGTACGGTCAACAAGTTTTCCTGGACAAGTTTTGTTGGGTGTGTTGACGGAATGTTGTTAAACATTTGTCTCACGCCTTTTGTTTGCCAAAACCATAGAAGTATTTCTCGTACACTTCTCAGTCAAGTTTTCCTTGGCGGCCGCACACACGAACAAATTTTCCTTGTCCAAAAGCTGGCATGGCTAGCATTGGAACAAGGTTCCTTGGCAAGGGAAAATTGTCAGGTTTTGCCTCATTGTTAAGGAAATCGCGCTCGGGGCTTTACTTCCGAATCACTTACGAGAACTTCCGAATATTTCCAAGGTGCATTTCTCAGATGCCCGCTCTACATTTTCCTCTTTATAAGAGGATTTCACGATTAGCATGGCAAGTTAAAAAAAAGTATGATGTTTTTATGATCCATGATTTCACTAAGCACTATCGTGTAGCAGACGGTAATCAACCCGTAGTTATCAACAGTGACGAGGCCACGGAAAGGGGGGAGGATGGGGGATTTACATTCCCCCTCTCCCAACCTCTCTTCAAGACCAATTTTCCAGTTCTTCCAAATCCGATGACAAAATGTTGCTAGGGGAGGGAGGGGGGGGGGGCAACAAACAAATGTCTCGAGGGTATCTATCAAAAGTTCTAAGTTGCGTGCATTTAAACCCATTTCACAAAGTACTATTTATATTACCCTTGACTGGCACAAGTGTTTGGGGTACAGAGAGATTACATGCCATTGTCAGGCTCTTTGGCATAAGAGTTTTAATAGCAAATACTTGACTAGCACTTTGGCGATGACAAATGTCTAAGCCTCTTCGGATTAGCGATGTTTAAATCTGCATCATTTACTCCATATTTGGACTATAAAAACAGTTTTAAAATAAGTTTTTTTACTCTAAAAAATATTCGACAACTTATCTCACTTGGCATATGTAGTTGGATATTAATAGCACTGGCTCTGTGTTTTGTTTTATTTTAGTTATGTTATGTTAAGTAATTTATGGCTATTGGCTACTACTAAAAAGCGATTCCTGTTCCTGTATCGCTGTATCGCTTTTTTGTAGTACGTAGCCGTAATTTAGGAACGGACCATTAGATATTTGAGAGGGGGGGGCAAATACCAAAAAAAAATTCGCGCACAGAAAAAATCCTGAAAAAAATATCGTGCACAAGAAACCTATGGTCCGTCCCTTATATATTGCCATTATTGCGTATGACAAGGACTGATGGATAATCCAGTTATGCTTAAGTTTATTAAGTACTTCTCATTAGGTTTTGGTGAGGAATTTGTGCAAGACGCTCACGCGATGCGATCGAAGTCACGGAAAGTCTAGACTTGCATGAATAAACTATTATTACGGGGTTGTTAACGTGATCTCGCTTTGTCGGAACGAGATGTGAAGCGGAATGATTTTGATGTATTGAAATAAAGCACGGTGTGTAATTTAGCATAGCCTGCAAAGCAGGTGTTGGGTGGGCCTGTCTGAAATCCCCCCCCCCCCCTCAAATTTAATGCCTGCTTTGCAAGCTAGATTAATTTCTACTTTTCTAGCGACAGGTTATAATATATTTGTAAACGAAAGGTTTGCTCAAACAGCAATAATAATAATCTTGAACTATACGAGATCTTTTCGACAACATTTGAGTTCTTTTAATAACTTAATTAACGTTAGAACTTTCGTTTTAGCCTTGAGTGAATCTCTTCCTCTCCGATGTAAGCAGCGCTTAACCTAACTTTATTTCTACTGGAGAAGAAGCAAACATTGTTTTCGTGTGACAGCTATGAGGGAACAAAAACATTTCCGGGCAATATTCTGGCATGTAGCTAATTACGCGTGAACTCGACTTAATTATAGCCTGCAGGGTCTCGCGGGCTTGGTTACCTAGTTCAATTATCGAGTCAGTCTAAATGGCCTCATTTACTAGTATACATTCTTTTTTATTTATTTACTACTTTATAACAAACGTACTTGCAGGAGGTGAGTCCGGGATTGGACGCACCGAGGGTGGCTGGAAGTTTCCCGAAGTCTCCCGGGTTCGGGAAACTTCCAGCCACCCGAGGTGCGTCCCGAATCCCGGACTCACCGAACCTGCAAGTATGTTTGGTTTTTATCACATGCCATTTCGGTAAAAAGTACTGAAGAATTTACGCATGCATTTTAGTATATAATTTCTTGTTCGGATAACGAACATTTTAGCCGCCAACATACTGCGCAAACAAACAAACAAACTTGGGCTTAAATTGCATGAAGCTAAAAAAAATTCTCGACAATATTCCCTTATTCTTGAAAAGAGAAAATGCACACATTCTGCGAAAACATTGCCAAGATTTATATAAACCTGCCCGTGCCGAACAAATTTCGGCGGCCATCTTTCTTCTCTTCCACTTTGAATACAGAATAGTCCATTTTCATCGAAGAGAATAAAAAAATAATAATTACAAAACAATTAAAAATTTTATTTAAATCTTCGTCTGAAATTCGTTCAAATCGCTTCATAATGACCGCCGCCGAAACATCGATCTCGAACCCCCTCCTAAACATGTGTCAGCAGGTGAGCTCGAGATTGAACGCACCTCCTCGTTATGAGACAAAAGCTTGAACCCCCTTGTCTTCTAAGTCATTGTTGACCTCGCATCTGCACAGCAATTTAACCTATCAATTTCCTACTAATTTTATTTATACTAAATAGTTCTCAGTGTAAGTTATAAAAATCAGGAAAATCAGGTGTCCCAGATTGGCTAAAAATGCATTTGCCACGCAACATTTGTTACATCATTCTATAGTTCTACCTGACTATCGTACTACCAAGATGGATGCACTTATAATTGCATTTACAATTTTCGCTGACAATTTGCCCTTTCCTCTCTACAATTTTTTCTTTCTTGGAGAAATATTTTCTGAGTACTCAAAAACTTTTCTGGGATCAATGGTACTGTGGTCCGATACTTTTTCCACCCCTGCAAGTGCATGTCTCAGGAATCCAACTTTGGTTCGCATGCACTCAACCTTATACGCCCAAACCACATATTTAAATGCCAATGTAAACAATTTCTCCGAAACTTATATATTGCACTTTTTCCCACCATATAGTCTAAAAGGCTCGCTCAATCCATCAAAAAGACACCGAGATCGTGTCAATGTTGAATTGGACAACCTCGCAAAACTGCTGCCTTTTGCACCCGAGGTCATCGCGAAGCTTGACAAACTTTCTGTGCTGCGTTTGAGTGCCAGCTATCTAAGAACGAAGAACTTCTTTAAAGGTATGTTAAACTCGTAAAGCTGTAAATTGCAGCCTTTTGAGCGCAATGAGCTCTTTGTATATCTGGACTCTGGAGTAAGAAACGTCCGTCATTCGGCCAATGAGAAAAGTGAAGCTAAGATTTTGAAATCTTGGAAATTCGCAATTCCCCCTTATTACGTTTTCGTGGCGCTTTGTATTGTGGTTATAGTGGTATCACTGATAAAGATAGCGGCCTCGAATGAAAATGTTGAATGTTTTCTCGAATATTTTGCTGTTGGCTGTCGCGCACCTGACCCTAGCTTTTTTAAAAGTTCTTGCACGGGTCAGGACAAAAAATAAGCCATCTTGAATATCAGTGATACCACTATAACCACAATGCGAAGCGCTACGAAAACGTAATAAGGAGAATCTAGTATTGACATCCAATGCATATGAAGGTCATAGTTTGTATACTAGTTTTCCCAGCTAAAAATCCAGTTTTTCCCACCGATCGTGTCGCTGATAAAGATATCAGTTTACTAAACCGTAGCATTATTCTTTAATAAGGTATGGTCGTTTTATTATTGTGAGCCATTACGGTGCACTGTAAAGAGCTTACATTGCTTATAGTGCTGTTTTGTTAACAGTACAGTACCTAAGGTGGGAGTATCGCATTTGCTGACAACATTTCAGTTGCTAATTAATATTTTTTCCCAAAATTGTTGGCGGGGGGATGTTAAGGTTAAAATAATTTCCGGACATACCATTTTTCACAATAAACTTTCAATTTAATGTACCGTAATTTGTTAAATTTTTCAGTAACATTTTCGTAAAGTTATCAACATTTTTGCTATAATGCTTGCGATTTTACTCTGAGTGTATATCCACACCGGGGAAGCTCGAAAATATGCCTATCCACGGTGGGAATCGAACCTACGACCTTTGGAGTAATAATTTTTGCTATAACTATTACCCTTTAATCAGAGTCTACGAAAACAATTTGCCGTTGAATCCCGTTATTTGCCGTCAAGATGTTTTCAGGGGGTGTCACACCCCACACACACGCCTATAGCGACGGCCCTGTTCCTTGCAGTTTCCCGCTAACCGCGCAGACAAAAAATTAGGAAGGGTTTAAAGTTATCATTCCTAGTATTTTATAATCATTCCTTGCTTTCCAGGTCTGAATGTTGGTTCGAAAGACAAAACATCAGATTCATCTGTGCTAGATGACTTTGAAAAGACTGGAGCAATAAGTGAATTGTTGTTAGAGGTACGTGCCAAGATTGGCTTCAGAATATAACGGAAAACTCTACACTTATCATCAAGGTCATCCAAAAAAAAAACTGGACACTATTTGATTTCATGTAACGTAAAAGCTATAAAAGCTATCGCAATGAAATAAATATCATTGCATTCAGAAAGGACTAACTTAGATTTTGATATATAGCACTTGAATTTACATGCAATATTGACTGCGCTATTGATGTTTGAACGTTGAACTACTGTTTTTGAAAATGCCAAAAATTTAGCATAAAACAACCTTATAATTACCGATGTAGTTATACTTGTTAAATAATAAATATTTTTATTTTGGTTGTATCCCGCTCAATATTGCATGCAAATGTTATATATCATTTTCCGTGTTGATATACAGTTATATCAACACGAGTGGAAATTGGGAAAACGAGAAATTGTGTGGAAACATGACGCCCAAAGGGCGGAGTGTTTTCACACAATTTCGAGTTTTCCCAATTTCCACGAGTGTTGATACAACTATATACCAAAACGGAAAAAATGTTTTATATTTGTTTTATAATATAGCACAAAGAAATATAAATAAAGAAATTTTCCGACGTTTCCGTGTTGACATTGAGTTATATCAACACGGCTCGTAGCCAATCAGCGTTCAGAATTTACAAATGCTATATTTTAAATCAAAATCTAGATCAGTCCTTTCTGAATGCAATGATCTTTATTTCATTGCGATAGCTTTTATTACTTTCACGTTGCATGAAATCAAACAGGGTCCAGTTTTTGGGACACCCGGTATATATAGCGGAAACCGGTAAACTTATGACAATACTCTGACTTATGTATTTCATGTTAGGCACTGGATGGATTCTTGATGGTGTTGACTCAAGATGGTGAAGTATTTTATGCCTCGGAAACTATTAGTGATTTCTTGGGAGTGTCACAGGTAATCATTTAATACTGATCTAAACTCTTACTCTAGCTGCATCAATTCTAAACTGTCCTTCCTTGAGGTTACAGTAAGGATCACCTCTTCTTTGTCCAATGTTACTGCAGAAGGAAAACTAAACTAACTTTATTTATACTGGATAGCTCTATCAGTGTTAAACTGTTTTCCCTAGAGGTCTAGCCTGCGAACAGGCTCTCAAGCTGAATTGAGAGCCTGCATCGATGACTAATGAATTTGAATATCTGCCCCGTAACGTTCGTTTTTCCAAATATGGAATGTCTATCCTTATATGGTGTTGTTTACAACTTTCGTGCAAACTAAATTTAGACCGTGCAAACTAAATTTAGACCGTGCAAACTAAATTTAGACCGTACAGTTTATACTATTTTTCGAAATATAAGATATTCAAGCAAAAGTTTAAATGTTTTAAATACTGTTTTCTCAAAACAGAACATTTTGTGCTTTGAGATAAGATGGCCAAGACCAATTTGATCAGTTAATGTGTTTTTATGCATAGTGCTTCAGCAGTTGACATACATAGAGCTCAGCGGAAACATATAAATTATAGCATCTGACCAATGAGAATTTCGCGTCACGATTTGAGACGCAGATATTCAAATTCATTAGTCATCGATGCAGGCTCTCAATTCAGCTTGAGAGCCTGTTCGCAGGCTACTAGAGGTCCAGTAAGACTGTAAGAGTCGTCCCTTATTGTCCAGTATTATTTCAGGATGAAACCTAAACTAAACTAACTTTATTTATACTGGATAGCTCTAAACTGTTCTCTCTAGAGATCCAGTAGGGAGCCGTTTTATAACGAATCTCATTGTCATATTTATGTATTTTCAGGCAAGCGTGATTCACCAAGATTTCTTGAGATTTGTTCATGTCGACGATCAACAAATGCTCGAGAACAACCTCAAGTTGGTTCCCAGTCCTCCAGAGCAGGTACGCGAAATATTCAAACTGTACTCCACGATGGGTCAAGCGTAAATAATGGTGCCTAAGTTGCAATGAAATTATTTTAAACTCTACGTTTGTCATGTTTAGAAAATCCGAGAGATTATTGACGATGATGATGAACCTCCTGCCGAAACCAGTGACAACGGTGCGTTCTTATTAGAGCTGCGCGGTTCTGAATTTTTCGGTTAACCGCACAGCTGTATAGTTGGCTTATCTATCCATATATGCACGATCAGAAATTGCGACCACAAATTGACAATTCCCATTATAGACTAATTTTAAAACTAGGCAAGGAGATGCAAATAAATCACCACAGCTAGAAAGAGCATACTAAAATGAGTAAAATGGCAAAGTTTGGTTGCGAAATGTTGTAAAATGCGGAAAATATGGCCTTGCAAAGTTTGCAAATTTTGTATACTTTTGAAAGTATTGCGTGCGGAATTGCTACCATTTTCGGCCCAAATGTGGTAGCAATTTCCGCACGCAATACAAAAGTATACAAAATTTGCATACTTTGCAAGGCTATATTTTTCGCATTTTACAACATTTCGCAACCAAACTTTGCAATTTTACTCATTTTAGTATGCTCGTTCTAACTGTGGTGATTTATGTGCATCACCTTGCCTAGTTTTAAAATGAGTCTATAATGGGAATTGTCTATTGAGAACTAAGATATACCTGTAAAATGGCTGTATGTGGCCAAGTGTATAATCCACGTTAATAAATTTTTGAATTGTTTGAATATGAAAAAGATAAACTATCTACACTGGACCCTCAAGTTTGAGATATCTTTTTTAGGTAGTTCAGACATGAACCACGGCAGAATGTAGAGTACTGCCTGCACTGGACCTCCACGTTTGAGGATAAACATTAATATTCATTGTTTTTTGTAGGAAAAGAAGTTAACAAAGAGCGGTCTTTTGTTTGTCGTTTTAAATGTGTCTTGAACACAAACGCTGGATTTTTCAAGGTAATACCAAGTAATACTATATTTCTATTGGCAGGGCCGCATAGAGAAATTTGGGGGCCCAGGGCAAATTTAATATTTGGGATGGGTCCTAGTGATTTCCTATCGTCAAAGATTCTTGAAGTTATGTATTTTTTTAGAGATTGATTTCCATATTGTTGAACATTTAGGACAATTGGCAAGATTATTTCCTACGGTTTTGAATGTTTATATAACATTTGCAATGCGTATTCTGTACTGAAATAGTTCAGAGGGTCTGGTGGCATTCTCCCCTGGGAAAAATTTGAAACATCTAGAGTCCCTAGAATAGCAATTCCTGCATTCTGGGAGAATATTTAACTGTGGTTTCGATGCATATTTTACTTTATCCTTATCTGGGCCCCCTTTCCTTTTGCCCTTCCCCCTCTGCGCTGCCCTGTATATTGGTCTGTTTTAGTAAAACCTTACAAAATTATTGAGCTAACATCTGAACTTGGAGCCAGCCCCTTAGAATATTGAGGTAGGGTCACTTGATGGCTTCCTAATTTCTGCAGCTGGCTGAAATTCTCCTGTGCTTAAATGCACCTATATAGAACAACACCTAGTGCAGTCGTGGACTATTACATATAATGGAAACAATAGCCCTTCTTGAACAGTGTTTACTCATTCGGTTGACCATCTTCTGTTTCACGTTTGCTTAGTAAATACGTGAAACTGTTACTACTTAATAGGTCGTCTAACCACTAGACATTGACTATCATTTTTATTTCTAGCCATTTAAGTGTCATGGTCGACTACGGGAAGTAGATGTCCCTGACGAGTCGTGTCCACATTTTGCATTATTTCTGATCTGTTCACCTTTGGAAGTGACGTCGACCTCGATTGTTGAAGTGCGTATGAAATCCATGTTGTTTTGTACGAAAAATAAACTGGATTTATCATTTTTGGATATTGATCAAAAGTAAGATTTTTAACATTTAACCTTGGATTTGGATAGACAGTAGTCTACAGTGCTATGTAAACTCCGGGTTTTTCACCTACGGCTCCGGCCAAAAAAAACTCCGGCTCCAGCAGAAAATTTCCAGCTCCGGCAAATTCGCGGAAATTGGAAATTTAATGGAAATTTCACATTTCAAAGTGGAAGCATTATCTTTGTTTTTTATTTTAACACTTCACATGAACATTTTGTACTATGTTTGTGGCAAGCCTACGCAGTATCAATGTGAGTATTTACTTTTTCGTCGATGGGTTCAGATTTTTTCGCCGATGTCCGACAGTAGTTTGCAGCACGAATAAGTGCTGCCAAAGCAATCTCGTTCCCCGAGCCTGCGATCCTCGGGAAGGAATCATGGGATAATCCGTTACCGGAAGCCAAGAATCCTGGCTAAGATTGAACTACGCATTCCATTTCAATGGCCAATCAGATTCCTCCCTGAAACGGATTATCCCAGAGCCTCGCGTTCCTTCCCGAGGATTGCAGGCTCGGGGAACGAGATTGCTGCCAAAGTTGAACAGACTCCAGCAAAATAGGCCAAAACTCCGGCGCACAGCAATAATAGTCTACGAACCGTTCTTTTTTGCTAAAATAATATATTTTTCAGGTTGTTGTATCTCGTTCAATTCGCAGCTGTTCAGGCAATAGTCTAGTCTACCACCCTTACCGGTCAATACTAGTACACTCCCCCCTTTCATGCCGTGTTTAACGCTACATTACGCATCTTTTCCAGGGGGAGGCAGATTGTTGGTTATACGAAGAAAGATATTTCGGCTCAGTCAAGTTACTGTATGATGCATTATGATGATATTCCGATCCTTCGAGGAATGCATCAGAGCCGTAAGTGGATTTTTTTTTTCCCTACGAATTGTTAAATTTTTCCAAAAGAAAAGACCTTTGCTATAAGTGGGTTTCAGTTAGCGTAACGGAGTCTTCTTCAGAAATATTCACGCTTGACAGAATGTTGGGCAAGCAAATTAAAATATATCTGTCTAGTCTATTCCTTTGCCTTCAAATACAAGCCTTCAGCTCATAATGAAAACAACTAACATTATTTTTTTCCGGTCCGTAATCCCAGGTCCGTAACGTAAATGGAGCCTTCTGATTGGTTGACGAGAGGTCCTTATCACACAATACGGACCTCTCGCGTTTCGCGCCAAAACAAACCGAGAAGTGAAGACAATTTTCAAACTGAAAAAAATAATTTAAAAGTTGAAAAACCCTCCTTATCGATACTAAAGATAGAAAAATAAGGTGAACTGACTTCGATGGATTTAGTGTCAAGCCCAATTTAGTATCACCCTGTCGACTTTCCCCGTGGGAGGAAACCGGAGCGCCCAGAGAAAACCCACAAGTTTTGGTAGAGCGTTGACAGACTTGCGTTGTTCGTCACAGAACCCACGATCTCAGAGGTGAAGGACGATTTCATCACCGAAGCTCCTGTATTCAGTGAATTTTACTATATACCAGTTGCAATGTCTTGTGTTGAATAATACTTTCTATATGTTTTCTAGTTATGGCAACTGGCAAATGTGAAGGCGTATTTCGTTGGTTAAATAAGCAACATAAATGGCAATGGTTGAGTGGTAGTGGACAAGTTATTTTCAAGAACAACCGACCTGACTTTGTTATTACAACTAACAAACCCCTAACGTGAGTTGTTTGCTCTTGTGAATTTCCAGTGGAAACAGTTTAGAACTGATAAAGCTAGCTGTCCGGTATAAGTAAAGTTAGTTTAGTTTAGGTTTTCTTCTGCATTACAGGGATGGCCCTTCACTGGATGTCTAGGGAGAACAGTTTAGAAGGTTTAATTTAGGTTTCATCCTGTAGTAACACTGGGAAATTATGGATGACACTTACTAGAGAGAACAGTGGAGAAAATAATAGAGTGAACTTGAAAGATGTACTTGAAAGAGCGCTGCACCGGAATCGCAGGGCTGCAGGTTTGATTCCTGCCAGAGGACCTAGTGTTGCATTTTTCACAACCGCTCCTGGTTAGGTCTTAAATTGTCCACACTTGCAGGGTTCGTAGCGGTCGTTGAAATCCTTGAAGGTCTTTAAATTTGAATGCAGGTCTTTAAGGTCTTTGAAAAGTCTTTGAATTGTGTGAAAAAGCGAAGAAAGTCTTTTGAGTATTTGATTATACGATTTCCTAGCTAATAAAATAAATTGATTGAAGCAAGATTTTCGCAAATATCGACGAAAAGGCGCATGTTAGGATGTGATTTGACAGGACTAATTACCCGGGTGAAAATGGTGCTCACACTCGCAATTTTTCGATAGCTAATTGCTCTTAAAGGTCTTTGAAAAGTCTTTGAAAATAGGCAGAAAAAATCTTTGAAAGTCTTTGAATTTTTTTGGTCTTGGAGACTACGAACCCTGACTTGGATTATGGACCAAACCCAGCATTGAAGAACTAATAGGCCTTAATCTTTCCAGTATCAATGATAGTTCAAGAATATTGAAATAAGTTTTATTAAGCAACACATGACCTCAAAGATTCTTGACGATGAAAAATCTCTAAGTCCCAAAAGGTATAATGTTGCCGGTCCCCAAAAGGTTTGTGGCCCGCCCCCTGTTTCCAGCCCTGGTGATAATCTAGAGGGGACCAGTTAGAGGTATCCATTATAAATAAAGTTTAGTTTAGTTTCAAGCAACAAACTCTACTTTCACAGCGATGAAGAAGGGGAAGAAGAAGTGAGAAGACGAGAACGAGATTTAGGAATCATACCAACATCGCCAGCCTCGTTACTAAGTCATCTACAGATCGCATCGCCATTACCCTCCAGTAGTCGTGTGGGTAGTCCTGATGATTTACCTCAACCACAGATGCCTCAATATACACCAGGTACATTTGTTTTAAATCCCGTACAGACGAGCAGTTTTTCATTGACAGGTATTCCTTGACAAATTTTGTTTGCTCGTGTTTAAGGCAAATAATGGACCATTCTCCAATTAACCAAAATTTTGAACTCAACAATTCTAGACAAAAATTTCATCACAGCTTGAAAGAGCATCACAAAATTAGTAATATTCCAAAGTTTCGTTGCAAAACGTTGTAAAATGCGGATAATATAGCCTTGCGAAGTTTGCAATTTTCAGTCATTTTAGATTACAAACGGGAAATGGTTACCACTTCTGTGCGTAATACAAAATGACCGAAAATTACAAACTTCGCAAGGCTATATTATCCGCATTTTACAACATTTTGCCACGAAACTTTGGAATATTACTAATTTTGTGATGCTCTTTCAAGCTGTGATGTAATTTTTGTTTAGGCTAGTTAAGATCAAAATTTTGGAAAAGTGGTAACCATTTCCCGTTTGTAATCAAAAATGACTGAAAATTACAAACTTCACAAGGCTATATTATCCGCATTTTACAACATTTCGCAACGAAACTTTGGAATATTACTAATTTTGTGATGCTCTTTCATGCTATGATGGAATTTTGTCTAGACTTGTTGAGATCAAAATTTTGGTTAATTGGGGAATGGTCCATTGACAATTTTTCTTTGTCAAGAAGCCTTGTTCCAAATTCCAGCTTTTGAACAAGGAAACATTATATTGTTCGTCTGTACGGCCGACAAGGAAAACTTGTCAAGTGCACAAGAAATACTTCTATGTTTTTGGCAAACAAAAGGCGGCCTAGACGTGAGATAAATGTTTAACAACATTTCGTCAAGGAAACTTGTCAGAGAAAAAAAATGTTTTTGTACAGGCTTAAATCCTTGGACTTTGATAAAAGACGGTTACAGACGAACAAGTGTTGTAGGACAAGTTTTCGTATAACAAGTTTTATTTGCATATCCGCATTGGCAACTTTGCTAAAGTTTTTTTTCTGTGAGAAGTACACTTGTTTAATTAAAAGCTAACAGACCAGCTGAGACACCTAGAAATATTATACAGTGTGTGTAAAAAAAAGGTAATCGAACTTCAGCGCGCTATTGCAATTGAATTACTCTGCGTATGAACGAGATTTTTTCATATTCGGAAAGATCAGGCTTTTAGCTGTTGCATGATACGTTCTTCATCCCAAATGGATAAAAAATGAGCGAATACGAATCCGATAAAAATTGTTAGTCAGAATCGCATATTTTCACCGTTGAGAGTTGGGTCTAAAACCATTGAAAATTAACCCCCTCTGGGACTTAAGTTGATGAATTTCACTTCAATAAACTACGCACATATTCATAATTATTATTAAGTAGGAATAAATCTTAGCTAAGCTATGACAAGTTCGTGATTAATTGCTTTTTCTTTTGTTATGCACTGAATTGGGCACAGAGGTGAAAATATGCAATTCTGACTAACATTTTTTATCGGACTCGTACTTGCTTATTTTCTCTCCACTTGGCATGAAAAACATGTCATTTATAGCTATAAGCCTGATCTTGCCGAAAATAAAAAAAGTTTGTTCATACGCCGAGTAATTCACGTACAATAGCGCGCTGAAGTTCGATTACCTTTTTTTATACACACTGTATATATACAGTCAACATGGGGAATGTAATCTTCATATACGGTGAGCTCAAGATATGCGGATTATGGGAAGATCTAGGCTGACAGCCAGAATAACAGTATTACTTTGCTACGGCAGTATTGTAGCCAAATAGAGTTCTATCATACACTAACTATATATTCCCTTTCAGGTCCCAATGTTTCCCCATCCTTAGTCAGTCCTAATCACTCGACTACCTCTTGTACTTCTGAACCATTTTCCGCCGAGGATCTTCCTTCGGATCTCAATCCTGACTTTTTATTCGAGGCAAGCGACAGTACCTGGGATTTACGAGGTTTGTATCTCGTTTCTGTTTTCAGTACGATTTCATAGTCCCCGACGTTGACACACACGCAAAAACCTCACATCTTGTGTTGTATTCGCATTGCTTGTCTCAAGTTGTCAACAAGTTTGGAACAAGCTGTTAACAACTTGTAACAGTCTTGTTGATATTATCAGACTTGTTGCAAGATTGTTCCAACAAGTCCGATACAGTCATGATATAACAATATTGATACAACATTGTGTCGTCAATCTTTTGTAACATTCTTGTTATATCATGACTGTATCAGACTTGTTAGAACAAACTTGTAGCAAGTCTGATAATGCCATCAAGCTTGTTACAAGTTGTGAACAGGTTGTTCCAAACTTGTTACAATAACTGGGAACAAGTTGTGGACAGATTTGTAATAACTTGTTTGCAAACCTGTAACAACTTGTGCGTTTTTACGTGTGTAGTCCAAGCTTGTTATTATTGGCCAGCAATGCTGTTCCAACAACTTGTCAACAGGATGTGTTCGCAATGCTTGTTCCCAGCTTAATGACAACTTGCTACAAGGTTGTCCGAGCTCCGCAGACTTGTAACAAGTTGTTCCAACAACTTTTTATCGTCCTGCAATTCAACGATTTGTCAACAAGTGGTGAGTGACAGCCTTGTAACAACTTGATAAAATAACAGTATTGTTACAACTCGTTGACAAGCTTTCTACAAGCCTGTTGCGAACACATCTTGTTGACAAGGTTAAGGATAGGTTTATGATTGGGTTCACAGTATTGTTACAACTCGTTGACAAGCTTTCTACAAGCCTGTTGCGAACACATCTTGTTGACAAGGTTAAGGATAGGTTTATGATTGGGTTCAAGATCAAAGAGAAACATATTGGTGCATGAAACATGGAGATATAACCTTCACCGCCTGCCATGCTAAAAGACAACATGGATGGGCAAATGTGCAATAAACAGTATTTATTGTTCAGTGTGACTATATCAACAATATCAACTTGGATTTTAATCATTTCAAAGGCCCGTTTACACTTGCGATTTTTGCTGCGAGTTCTTGTGCGGTTTTCTCCTTCTGATGGATGTGAACGAGTAAATGAGTTACGGAATGTTCGGAGTACATGTACCCTCATCTGAACATTCATAACTTATCCACTCGTTCACATCCGTCAGAAGAAGAAAATCGCAACCTAAAATTGCAGCAAAGGTGAAATTATAATCTGACATCTACATATTGTGGGAGTGTGAACTCCGGATGCGGAGGTGAAAGGTGCCAATCTTATATATTGCGTGTCTGGTTCATTCAAGATTATATATTGATTGTCTGGTTCATTCAAGGGAAAGAATCATTCTAGATTAACTTTGTTTTTCAGCTTCACTATCCGACCTGGACAGTATCGGCAAAGGTGACTTGATGAGTGATCTGCTTGAATTAGACGTAAATGATCTGAACCTGGATCCACTGACTGAGAGCAATACTGTACCCTTGACACATGCGTCTGATTCCTCCTACCCTTCGTCGGAGATTTCGCCTAACCCCCCTATGTCACAACCTGGTGCGTGGATGCCACGTGATCAGGGTATGACGTCACAGTACCCTCAACTCCAACCAGTTTCAAGCTCGGGCATGGGGGCGTCAACATATACTAGCTATGGTACGCCGCGTATTTCTTCCACCGGAACAATGCAACCCCCGGGCATTGGTAGTACCGGAATTATGTTTCCTCAAGGGGTACCGCCGGGTACAGTGTCCTCTCAAGGTGTACGACCGGGTATTGTACCCTCTCGAAATATGCCACGAAATGGAATTCCTATGAATGGCCAGTTTGTAAATGTAGCAGATCCATCGGGTTACCATGCAACGATGACGCAATCACAACCGCTGCCACCACGTGGCAACGTAGGCTCAACTCAAGCTGGATTACTCAAGCTTCAAACGCAACCAATGCTAAACCGTTCTTACATAAAAACTGAACCAGTACGTTCCGCTGGGTATTATTGCAATTCTGTAGGCATGGACTCTGTTCTGTCAGGGGGGATGACCAACGGTCCACATTTCCCGGGGGTGTCGGCGCCAAGTAATACATATAGGTATCAAAATAAACTGAGTCATGTAGGGCTTCCTCAATGGACGACAGCGCCCCCAAGTCCATACTCATCAGGGTCTTCGTCTACGAGTTCCTACGATGCATTACACGGACAGTTCTCGCCCACCGATATGCTGACGTCACCATTCGCTTCACCACGTGACGACAACGACTATAACCGTGGTAACGGGCCGCCGTACGTGAATGGTGGACCTCCTCAACGTTCCTTCGCACGTCCCCAACCAAGTTTCCCTCAAGCGTTTGTCGATATACCGGAGATCGCGCCGATGGGCATGGTCGAGGAACTAGTTCCGCGTATGCATCACACATCACCCCTCGCGTCTCGGACCTCTGCGGGACTTACGCACTTGTGATTGGATGAATCTGTCCATATGACTTCAAGCACAAGCACGTATCGTGTCGACCGTCGTGAATTGTCGGATTCTAATCTGACACAGAGAACGGTTAATGCGCGCGTTACTGAATTTCATCGACGAGACTTTGTTGAGTTGACAGTTCATATGTTATGGGTGAAAGCCGCCGTCATGTGTTGAGTTTGAGTCGAAGAGAAAGGAATTCTTTTTGGCCGTCCTAAAAGACCTAAGTCTTGCCTTGCACAAGAAATGGGACTGGGTATCGGCATTGGGAAAGTTTTAACCTTTTTTGTAAGATTACTACATTTGCATTTTAGACTTCTAACTAAAGCATGTTGTAGGGAACATGCTAAGCTAACTGGTGAATAAGCCTAAAATAGTACAAAACTTTTCGATTGATACAGTAAAATCCCGCATCAAAGAACCATTATTTTTTATGTCAGGCTGAAGTAGTTCTTACGTAGCAGGTGAGAATTCAGGCCGAATTGGTTCTGAACTGGTCCTTATTTCTAGTCAAAATCTATTGTTCCTTGTTTAGTGTTTAAAATTATGTGTGTCCCTAATTAATGATTTGTACAACAGATTATGTTTTTGCATTTAGAAGGTTTTTTTAAGAAACAAGTCTCGTTTGTTAGTCTAAAGAGGTTCTTGCATTTTTGGTGCTTAATAATTGCCTGCGATTCTTAACCAAATGGTTCTTTTATGCGAACTTTTACCGTGGCCTGTAACATGATAGATTAAATATTTCTAGAGATATTAGCCGAGGATATTTCTCCATCGCTTATTCACCGGTCATGCAAAGCGCGCTACGTACAAAACCCCGTCCTCGTTACCATCTTTTGTAACTAAGGCTTGATACACTCTTTTGCTCAGCCTTGGCTATAGAGCTCTCGTTATTGAGATATCGGCTTTAAGGGCCTTTATCATGTTACTGGTGACCTAATTGTATAAAGGTCTTTATATTGTCTAATATAACTGCATGATTTAGTATTGTGTACATCTGTAACATGAGATCTCAAATCACGAAAACGAGGCTCTAATAGCCACGGCTGAGTGGCTCCCAGCAGAGATTTGTGACGTAATTATGAAAATGTGGGTTCAAGCGTCGAACTTTTCATGTTCCGTACAATAAGTTTCGATCATTTAGAGTAGGTTCGGTACATGATGAGTACGACGTTTTTTTAACTACACACGTAAAAACGAACAAGTTGTTGCAAATCTGTTCACAAGTTGTCGACAGGTCATGTTGGCACTACTTGTTCCCACTTGTAACAAGTTTGGAACGAGCTGTTGACAACTTGTAACAAACTTGATGGCATTATCAGACTTGTTACAAGGTTGTTCTAACAAGTCTGATACAGTCATTATATAAGAAGAAAGTTACAAGGTTGACGACACAAAGTTGTAACAATATTGTTATATCATGACTGTATCGGACTTGTTGGAACAACCTTGCAACAAGTCTGATAATATCAACAAGGTTGTTACAACTTGGACAAGCAGTGCGAACACAACTTGTTGACGGCTTGTTGGCAGACTCGCTACAAGATGCGAGTTTTTTGCGTGTGTAGACCTAAAACCAGTTTCCCACTACACATGTAAAAATCTCACACAGCATGTCAACAAAATATGCTTGTTCCCAGCATGACAAGTCTGGAACAAGTTGTTATCATCTTGTAACAAGGTTGATCAGGCCAACAGATTCGCAACAACTTGTTCCAACAAGTCTGATATCGTATGCACGTAAAAGGTTTCAACGAGTTTGTGACAACAAGCTCGTAGCAACCTGTCACGAACAGCCTGGTATTAGTCTTGTTGGAACAACTTGTAGCAAGTCTGTTAACGTCATCAACCTTGTAACAAGGTGATAACAACTTGTTCCAGACTTGTCACAACAACTGGGAACAAGCATAGCTGATATCGGCTTGACAACAACCTTGTTACAACTTGTGTAACGACGTGTGTGTTTTTACGTGTGTAGGCGAATCGCAGATGAACAATCGCAGATAAAAACATTTGACGAGCTTTTGAAGTGCGTTTTTGTGTTTGTAATATTTGGATCATTCTGAGAAGAAATGCGATACATCTTTATAGTAAAATCCAGATCTTGATCAACTTTTTCACTTTCAGAATTTCCGTATATGATGTTATTCGCTGATGGATTGAAAATGAGCTTATTTTGTTTTTTGACATCATCGTTTTTTGAAACAGTGACAAAGTTGATCAAGATGAGGTTTTTTACTATAAAGATATACTGCATTTCTTCTTAAAATGACCCAAATATTACACACCAAAAATCGTATTTGAAACCCAACATTGAAGTTTCGTCGTTAGAGTAGTAGTTTTTTTAACAGAATAGACAGAATATTTTTATCTGCTAGTATTCGTTATCGTTGGTTGCAAAAGATGGTAAATAGTTTGGGTCATGTAAATAGAAATGATTTCGACAACTTTTGCACTCGCTGTTTTGGACATGCACGAGGGATATTCTGCACGCATCATGAATAAACTATTTTTGCCCGTGTGTGTTTTAGAGGAATTGCCAGCAAGTGGGGTTCTTCGAGATTATTACAGTTTAAGTGAAATAAAGAATAATATATTTTGATCTTATATGAATCGTGTTGCTGGTAAATGCGCATTGAAGCGCATGCATGTGTGTGAGGCTTGTTTTTTAGACGTTTTCGTTGTCTTTTTATAGTTTTGAAAATCTCACTGTTCTCCATAAATCCACCAGATAGAAAAGTGCACGGGTCTCTTCTCGCATAAAACACCAACGAGCATTTGAAAGTTTTATTTAGCACAGCGAATCGCCGTGAGATTTACAGTTAAATCTGATTGGCTGATTCATATCACGTGTGAATACTCTGAATAGGCAAAATCTTTCTGTGTCTGTTCATTGTTAGGTGCAAACGACGGTAAACTTACTCCTATATCTATGGTTACAGCCAAAACTTAAATGAAGTATAGAAGTTTCAATTCAAAATGGCGGCCGATTCGAAAAAATTAAAGCACAAAATTTGGTATGTATATTAAAAAATGCCTTTCTTGTTGCCTTCACTCGTGTCAGTTTGAACTCATAAGATGTATCTCTATTACAGTATGGTGTGTGATTTCTTTTACCCCAACATGGGAGGTGTAGAAAGTCATATTTACCAAGTTTCTCAGTGTCTTATTAACAGAGGCCATAAGGTAATATTTGATACGTATATTTGGGTATTGGCTTTTATAGAAATGAATGTTATATAATGTACTGTAGTTAGCATTATCTCACTGAAATCGGTCTTGTTTTTCATGCTTTTGAAATGTGAATAAACGTTTTTGTATGTCATAAAGCCTGTTCGAATGATATGAAAATATGTGGATTATATTGAGCATGAAGTTAAGCAATAACTCAATTTCACCACCGTCATCATTTTTCTTCCAAGGTTGTCATTATTACTCATGCTTATGAAGATAGAGTTGGTGTTCGATATTTATCAAACTTTTTAAAGGTTTGTTGATAAGTTAAAGCTTAATGGAGTATTCACACTGATCCATTCAAAACTACCCTAGCCTGTGTCACAGATGATAGATTGTACCAGATGTCTCACTGTGTATCCATCCCTATGATTTTCGTGTCCGCGATTTTCACGAGTCGCCAGATGACGCGTGCGACACTTGCTGCCAAAATGGCGCTTACTGCCAAAGTGTGTGATTGCTCACGTTTCATGGCGTGGATTACACTTACTGCCAAAATGGCGGCCAATGCGTGCTCATAAAAATCGCTGACACAATTTTGGCTGAGTAAGACATCTGGTATAATCTATCATTTGTGCCTGTGTGCAGTCCCAGACTCCCAAAGGAACCTTTGGGAGTCTGGGACTGCACGCAGGCTAAAACTACCCTGGCCATCTTGCATATGGGCAAGATGTGGAGTGTCCACCCTCACCCCCAATTTGCAAAGTTGGGTGCAATTTCCATCATGAATTTATAAAACTTAATTTTGATTATTCAATGCTGTACTGGTTGACAAATGTTTTACAGCTCCCCCTTTCCTTGAAAAAGCATGTGTATATCTCCCCTACCTGAACAACCTAAATCCACATATCTTGCATTGATTTAAGAAATGATAGACTTGTTTTGTAATTTGGAAATAAAGACAAACGTCAGTCAAATGTCACCACATTTACACCTCACATTGACTTTTTTTACACTAAAAATTCTATTGATATGAACTCTGTAAGCTAGGTTGACTGTTGTTTTCGTTATTTATCTTCAGGTGTATTACCTGCCATTTACAGTCTTCTATAACCAGTGTGCTTTGCCTACAATGTTCACCACATTACCACTGATGAGGGATGTTTGTACCAGAGAGAATATCACAATACTTCATGGACATTCGGTAAGCCAAAAAACACCAGTTTTATAATATAGCATAATAATAATAATATACTATAGAATTTTATTCATCAGCCCACAATTGGCTTGATATGTGAAAAATTTCGAGCAATTGGGTTTGAGCAAATTAGCAGACACTCAATTTTGACAATATGAAACATAACTCAAAATATGAACTTGGTGCCCGGTTCCCTGTTGCAATTTTCAAAGGCTAACTGCAAATGTTTTTTTTGAAAAAAACTAAATATACAGGCATGCTTACTGGGTTTTCAACATAGCCTGAGGTTTGAAATAACAATAATAAACGCATATTAAAAATTAAAACAAGTCACAGATGAGCTTTTTAAATTGTAAATTTGAAATATTTCAGGCATTTTCTACGCTATGTCACGACGCCTTATTGCACGCCAACTCGATGGGAATTAAATCTGTATTTACGGATCATTCATTATTTGGATTTGCCGACGCAAGTTCCATCATTACGAACAAGTTTTTGGAGTTCTCGTTGGCGAATGCCGATCACATTATTTGTGTCTCTAATACAAGGTTCGTATTATGTATACAGTATGAATGCTAATCACTTCCAGAGCCTGGAGTCAGGCCGTGGGCTGTTGGCCAAAATTATTTCGCTTTGTGGCACCCATGTGGGAAATACTTTGTTTGGCGTTTATTTGAAAGGCATATAGGTACATCACTACCAAAAAAAGTTCCCAAGCAAAAAAGTTGCCCAATCCCGAGAAAATGGGTGATCAATGATTATCCTCTATTAAATTGTATTACAGCAAAAAAATGGGAAATTCTGTATTCAATTACAATAAAAATTACTTGCATCATCGGAAAACATACAAAAAACCGCACATAAGACTTTTAAACAGTTTTTTGATTTTTCAAATAGTATTTGAGTTATTGCTGTATGTGAAAACTGGACCAAAATGTCGCAATAAGGACTGGGTACTAGGTCAAAAACGCGTTTTTGACAGCGTATAACTCGAAAACAATTATAGATATAAAAAAACTGTTTAAATGTCTTATATGTAGTTTTTTGTAAGCTTTCTGATAATGCAAGTTTGTAAGCTTTCTGATAATGCATTTTTGTTGTAATTGAATACAAAATTTTACATTTTCTTGCTGTAATACAATTTAATAGAGGATAATCACTGATCATCCATTTTCTCGGTGTTGGGCAGGTTTTTTGCTTGGGAACTTTTTGTGGTAATTAAGCATCTATGGTTCTATGAATTGAACCACAGAAAATCTATTTCCCAGGGGGGTGCCACGAAATTGCTTTTCTAGGCACTTTTTTGCACAACAGCCCACAGCCTTCAGGTGAATATAATGTTTCTGACGTTACTCTGAGTGTATATCCACACCGGGCAGACTGAAAAGTTATGCTGACCACGGTGGGAATTGAACTCGCGACCTTTGGGATCCCAGTCCAATGCTCTGCCAACTGAGCTACGAGACCAAGTCTGTTCGAGTGTGTGGTATTTCGGAACTAAGTCTAGTAAGGAAAAATCCGACAGTAAATTTTGGGCACTTGCAAATGTTCCAAGTCCGTCTCTCCCTACTTTTCTCGGATTTTACTACATCCCGGGCGTTCTTTGTCAGTGCCCGCGGTCACAATTAGGATTATCAGCAGTTGAGTTTGCAACTCAATAGACAATATTCAAACAGATTATAGCAGATTATTAAAATTTTGTTAAATCACTTTAACTTTTATACCGATCCCAAACCCTAACCGGCCTAACTTATGAGAATTAATAAAGGCAGAAAAAGAAATTATTTTCAAAAGTTTTGTTATTATTTGCAATACTTACACTGACACGGGCAGTTCATGCTCACATTTCTCTGTGACTACATTTTAGATAACATCACTCTGTATCTCAAATTTTTTGTGTCAATTTTCCGTCTTTATACACGAAGGAATTATCAGACGAACTAAGTTCGTCCAGTTGTTCATTAAAATTAGGCCATCTCCTTCATTTAGTAAAGAGAACACAGTGTTGAGAGCGACGGTCAGTCCACATCTTGTGTCCGTTATACCAAATGCCATTGATTCCTCCGCATTTATTCCCGATCCTTCAAAACGCAATCCTGACTTTAGTAAGTATTGACGATAGCTTATGCAATTAACATGCAACTAGTTGTCTGATTATAATTTTATTTCAGTCGCTTCCAGCGTGATTCTATACCTAACATCTTAATTCTTAATTTGATTTCTCACAATTCATTTACATACAGACAAGGTTGGTTATTGACACTAGTACAGAACGTGCAAAAATACAACATTAGGGAATTTAAGCTTCACGTTTGCGGGAACGGCAAGGCCGAATTTTCTTGGCATAATTTTCGTTCGATTTCTGCATGTCATATTATTTTTCTTTCCTATGACACAGGATTAGTTAAGCATTCTAGTTATAAAACAACAAGCCCATTTACTTTTTATTATTTTAAAGGGTAAAATGTTTCTTTGCCTGGCGTTTGTCGTTTGTCGTTGAACTAAAAAAAAATAGGCGAGCACGCGAGCACTGCTCGCAGGAAATGTTAAACAGCCGCAGGAAATTCGTTTGAATGAAGATTTGCTATTGAAAATTTGAAGGAAACCTTAACACCCATGTCGCATTATGGGCGCAACAACATATGATTGACAGACATTATTCCTTGAATTTAAAACCATGATCAGATATGCTTATGCACATGCAGATTTAGCACAAAAATACTCCGTTGGTCTGCAGGAAGGAAATTTTTGTCTCCAGGTTGTGCTCCCAGGAAGAAAAAAATTTTTCCTGCCCTGTCTGCAACTACCCCAGTTTCCTGCTGAAGAAAAACTGGACAAATAAGGATCACCTTACTGGATCTTTAGGGAGAACAGTTTCATAAGCCCCCCCCCCCCATGTATAAGCCCACCACATGTACTAACGCTCACCTCATTCCAAATATAAGCTCCCCCCCAAATATAAGCCCACCCGAATATAAGTCCCCCGAATATAAGTCCCCCAATTAATAATAAGCCCAGTAATCGCTGCTTAATACACGTTTATTTCCCTGTTTATGAATGACTTGTTTATGTCTGACTTGTTTATTACTAACACAAAAGATCGTCCATGTATAAGCCCACACGTATATAAGCCCCCCCCCCTTGTATAAGCCCATCAAAAATCGCTTACGAAAGTATATAAGCCCAGGGCTTATAGTCGGAGGTTTACGGTAAGTAAAGTCAGTCTAGTTTTACGTACAATTACAAATTTTATACAATTTTTTCAATGTGTATTTGCATAGTAACAATAGTAATTGTCAGTAGGCTTGTCTATCGAAAGGGAATGCACCCCGGTTTCCTTCTGAATTAGAACTGGACCAATCTGGGTGACCTTTAAGGAGCCTGGATCTTTAGGGAGAGCTGATAGAGCAATCCAGTATAAATAAAGTCAGTCTAGTTTTAGGTACAAATTTTTTATGCAAATATTTTTTAATGTGTATTTATATAGTAACAATAGTGATTGTCAGTAGGCTTGTGTATCGGAAAGGCATGGACCTATTAGCAGCAATCATACCTCTGATTTGTTCCAAATACACTCGTGTTCAATTTTTGATTGGTGAGTAAATGATCAATTGTGCTATCTTAGCTAATTCGTCTAGGTATGGTTCGCCTTGTGTGTACAATTGGTGAGTAGGTGAGTAAATGGTGTACTACTAATCAGCCTTGCAGCTGAGAGCTAGGCTGACTTGTGAAGGACGCAACTTAACCTGAAAGTCGAAAGCTTACTAAGGACGCCTCGGATTGACGCCTCGGATCAGGGGTGGATTTGTAGGGGGAGGTTGCACAGGGGTGCGCACCCCTGTTGGCCTTGGTTAACAGGCGTGCAAAAACATGAAATTCAGAAATATGGCATAATTTCCAAGGTTTTTCCTTTTTTGAAGTCAAACTGAAGCTCACAATTCAATGCCCATATCGCACGAAATGGCATTTCTAGGGTTCTAATTTTCAAAATTTTCCGGGGGGCACACCCCTGACCCCCCAGGGAGCTCACGCCTTCGACGCTTGAGTTGTTAGGAAGCCAATTCATTCGAATGCTCTCCCCCCTAAAGAATTACGAAGAAACACTCGGCTGCTCACCCGCCCCCCCCCCCCACCTAGAAAAACCTTGCTGGATCCACCCCCTGCCTCTGATTGCCACCGCGTGTTTCGTATCTGATCCCGGAGCACAAGTACGGTGGAAAAGTCGATTTGGGGCTTGTCCCATCCTATCCTGGCAACATTACCCGTGCCCCGTGGGAGGAAACCGGAGCAAGCACCTTTGAGAACACGTGGTTTTGATTTTCGTGTGTTTAAGCTTTGTGTACACGCACGCAGGTGTTACAAAACTTTTGAGCCCCACTGTACTTTCGTTAGAGCGTTGCCGGACTCTTTTCACATTAGGGACCGGTCATTAATAATGGGAGGGGGGGGGGGCGGTGGGTGAGAAAAGGGGGGCGGCTTCAACTATTTTCGCCTGAATTGGGGGCGGCCTCAAATTGAAAAATATGTGACAAGGGGCAACCCCAATTTTTTAATACTTTCCGACTCATTTTCAATCTCTCGCCTTTATCGTATCCCACAAAATATTTCACCTTTTTTAGTTCCTATAATCGCAGTTTCCATAGTTCATTACGTATATGCAGTTCACCATAGGAGTCGGAGTAAATAACAACCATTTTGAAAATTAGTCCTCTAATTATTTAGGCTACACAATGTCTTACACCAGTACTTGTCCCATTACCTATTTTACACCAAAAAATGTAACGAATTAGATGTTGGAGTGGGGGGTTGAAAATTTTCTAGATGAGGGTGGGGCGTCTTGAAAATAAAGGACTTTCGATTCGGGGCGGCTAAAAAATGTTCAATATTTAGTATTTATCACCCACCGCCCCCCCCCTCTCCCATTATTAATGACCGGTCCCTTAGTGTCATGCGTCCGCAGCGAGAATCGAACCCATGACCTCAGAGGTGGAAGGTATACTTGCTCATACGACCAAAGTTCAATGTAGAGAAGGGCAATACGTCTTGAGGAATGATTCTTTCACTGCTTCTCTACAGGTGGAGAAGGACCTAAGAGGGTCGTTCTCGAAGAAGTGCGTGAACAACATCAACTCCACGACAGAGTTCATCTACTTGGAAGTTTGAAACATGAACACGTTCGTGATGTGAGTACAGACCATTGGCTTATTGCATTTTTAACACCCCCTCCCCTTCCATGGAGGATACTGGAATTTCCAGACCCCCCTTCCTAAAATTCAACAACAAAAAAGGTTAAAAAAACAACATGGAAATTCCAAGGGATGGTTACCTATTAAACAAGAAATGTGGAAATTCCAGAGACTAGGTCAAGAACCATCGGTGGAATTTCCAAGGGATGAGTAGAGAAATTCCATGGGGTAGGCTGGAAATTTGTACAAACTCTGTGGAATTCCATGGGGTAGGCAGAAAATTCTTCAACATCTGCGGAATTCAAGGGAGGGGGTTCAAAAAATGGATGTCCTTCATAGGGGG